GAAATCGAAATTGAGAGTGAGCCATCTCTCCAAATGGGTAAGTCTGAAGTTAGGTTGTGTAATGAAGGCGGAGAGCTCGATTCGGAGGTTAATTTTTGTGCTTTCGTCCCGAAGATAACGTCAGTGAAAAGAGAGAGCATCGGCACTACCCATCTCGGACAGGCCGAAGAGAACGTAGGCAAGAGAACGAGAACCCTTGCAAACGATGAAAAAAGGAACGCTCGACACATACATGTAAATATGCGTACAGTATCCATGAGAGATTCGAAAAAAATGAATGCCAAACCATCCATATGCAATGTTTGCGCTGCATCTTTTACTACGAAAACCTCAATGGCGAGACATATTCAAATAAATACCGGCGAGAAACCATTCAATTGCAGTCATTGCTCCTCCTCTTCCAGTAGTAAATACAATATAAAGAAACACATGCAAACGCGCACTGGCGAGAAATCATTCAATTGCAGTCATTGCTCGGCCTCTTTTGCTATGAAATATAACTTGACAACACACATCCGGACGCATACTGGAGAGAAGCCATTCAGTTGCAGTTATTGCACGGCATGCTTTGCTCGCAAACAGTCTCTAACGGCACATGTTCGCACGCACACTGGTGAGAAACCATTCAGTTGCAGTCATTGCTCCTCCTCTTTCACTAGTAAAGATAATTTAAAGGAACACATGCGAACGCACACTGCCGAGAAACCATTCGGTTGCAGTCATTGCACGGTATGCTTTGCTCAAAAGTCTGCTTTAACGAAACATGTTCGAACGCATACTGGTGAGAAACCATTCAATTGCAGCCATTGCTCCTCCTCTTTCAGTACGAAACAAAATCTCAAGGTACATATGCGAACGCACACTGGCGAGAAACCATTCAGTTGCAGTCATTGCTCGGCCTCTTTTGCTATGAAAAGTAACTTGACAGCACACATCCGAACGCATACTGGCGAGAAACCATTCAATTGCAGCCATTGCTCCTCCTCTTTCAGTACGAAACAAAATCTCAAGGTACATATGCGAACGCACACTGGCGAGAAACCATTCAGTTGCAGTCATTGCTCGGCCTCTTTTGCTATGAAAAGTAACTTGACAGCACACATCCGAACGCATACTGGCGAGAAACCATTCAATTGCAGTCATTGCTCGGCCTCTTTTGCTATGAAATATAACTTGACAACACACATCCGAACTCATACTGGCGAGAAACCATTCAGTTGCAGTCATTGCACGGCATGCTTTGCTCAGAAAGGGTGTTTAACGGCTCATGTTCGCACGCACACTGGTGAGAAACCATTCAGTTGCAGTCATTGCTCCTCCTCTTTCACTAGTAAAGACAATTTAAAGGAACACATGCGAACGCACACTGGCGAGAAACCATTCAGTTGCAGTCATTGCACGGCATGCTTTGCTCACAAATGTAATTTGATAATTCACATCCGGACGCATACTGGAGAGAAACCATTCAGTTGCAGTCAGTGCACGGCATGCTTTGCTCAGAAACGGCTTTTAACGGCACATGTTCGCACGCACACTGGTGAGAAACCATTCAGTTGCAGTCATTGCACGGCCTCTTTTGCTGAGAAAAGTAATTTGACAAAACACATCCGGACGCATACTGGAGAGAAACCATTCAGTTGCAGTCATTGCACGGCATGCTTTGCTCACAAACAGTCTCTAACGGCACATGTCTCCACGCATACTGGTGAGAAACTATTCAGTTGTAGTCATTGTTCGGCGTCCTTCCGCGAGAATGTCACTTTAAAGAGACATTTGCGAATGCATACTGACGGAAAACTATAGTGATGCAGTCACTGCTCATCCTCTTTTCGGCAGAAAAGGCATTTGAAGGAGCATA